CTAAATTCTCCTTCCACCCACCAGAATATAGGTTACGATAATTGAACGTTTAAAGTGTTGAAAAAAAGAATTAAGAGAGGCATATTTTGTTATTTAAGAATGACAGCTTCTGGAGCTGTTTTTATACATTTATAGGATACACGCAGATTTTGCTCTCGCTCTAAACAGTGCCACGCTTAGAACGGGGAAAAGCTTGCGCGGAATACATGGGCATGATGGAAGACGCGCAGATTTTACAAACTTGCATAACAATCGGAACTCGCAAACATGAATGCACGCGCAGAAGACAAACACAAAAATTTAAGTGGTCATATTCTTTTTCTTCTTAAGAATGCTTGCGCCAGCAATCCTTGCAGAAATAATGCAACATGCCAAGCTGGCTTTTGTGTACTTTTGGATCTGGATTTGAAGGCCACGATTGTGATAGAGGTGAGGAATCCTATAAATTTTATTTGTAGTCAGTAAAATGAATGTGTGGCCATTTCTTATTTGCTGACAACGGGGAACGTTAGCATGGAGGCGAAAACACTTGCAGCCAGAGCACGTCAAATACACACAAACCCTTATATAAATGTGGCGCTCATTTTGTTGTCCCAGACATAGATGAGTGTTCTAGTGAAACAAACGGCTGTGATGAGAATGCTGAGTGTAACAATACCCTGGGATCTTACAAGTGCATCTGTAAAGATGGATTTCATGGGAATAGAACTAACTGCAAAGGTAATTTAGTTGTATAAAGTGAGTTGATGACGTAAAATAGGCCAATGTTGCGAGTTTAAAATCCGAAGTCTCGAGCGCTAGTCCCTCGTCGGAGCAAATGGGGAAATTGTGGGTTGTGTGTCTGTTTACATGCGGAATATAGAGTTACACTATTGACGGGAACATGGTAACGAGAAAATTAGAATAAAGTAGCTGACTACAACATCCCAAAAATCTACTAAAGCAAACAAACGAGAAAACAATAAAACCACAAAACACAAGATAACAAAATAAAAACAGGTTCCGTATAAGAGATGCTTCTTTTTAATTCTCTGGACTTGGACGAATGCGCTAACGGAACACACGACTGTGATGTGAATGCTGAGTGTAACAATACCCTGGGATCTTACAAGTGCACGTGTAAAGATGGATGTCGTGGAAATGGAACTAAGTGCAAAGGTAACTGTTATTTTATCATTCTATCTTATATCTCCTTATTGATAATGGAGATAGCACCAGACTTAAACTTGTACAAGAGTATAATGTCCCCAATTTCTGTATGGTATTCTACCGGCAGCAGGCCAAGCAGTACGAGTTCATCAGCATAAGAGACGTAACTCGGTGGGTAGTTAAGAATAAACTTAGTTGGACACCTTTAGATGTTCTCAATAAATGCTCCATGTATGATGGTACAAGGAGATCATAGGCAGGAGCATTATTCAAGTTCGGGTTTGACCACAGGACAGCACAGCAGCTTTCTTATCTAAACGTCATTGACATCGCGGCACACAAGGTATACAGGTACACACTCGAGCGATGTCCATCAAGGTCAATCAGGAGTTTTGCAGCGTTGAAAGCTGTACAGCTTGGTGAATTGACCAGTTTCCAAAGAGTTACTAGCAAGAGTGACAGCATATTTGCGGTTGAAAGTAGATTCTATGTTCATCATTAGAGCCAGTGCGAAGATACCGTTATGAAGATATAGTTATTAATGGGTTCGGAAGAAAATAATCAACTTAATCAGTCTTGCTTGTCAGGTGATCTTCTGGAGATTTTTGCTTCGTTATCTTATTCTGCCGAATTTAGAGGAATATTTTTTCTAGGCGGTAGTGTGCAATATTGGCAATACCCAAAACAATTGTCAATTTCTTAACAGTACCATAACTTTCCCTTTCATTTTGCGATTATTATACAGGATTTACAGCAGTGTTTACAACTCTTGGTATGATTGGACGTACGGGTCCAGTCCGAATTGGAAATCACTACACAGGTCAGGATCACGACGGGCAAGTGACATTGTCCAGCGGTATTCAGCACTGGACTGTGCCACACACTGGCGAATACAGAATAGAAGCAATAGGAGCCTCAGGGGGTACAGCAAGGACAGTATCATCAAGAACGGTGGAAGAGGGGCACGAATGATTGGAAACTTTATTTTGACCAAAGATGAGATCATATACTTGTTGGTCAAGAAGGGAAAAAAGTTAACTTTAAAACTGCTGGAGGTGGTGGAGGTACATTTGTTGTGAGACGAAACAACACGCCTTTAATCATAGCTGGATATCTCCTACCCAATGATAGAGTAAGTCGCTGATAATCAGATTTTGAGGGATTTATGAAAACTGTAATCATCAAATTTCTTATTGTTAATTTTGAAGAATTTCTTTGATGGTCCTTTTGGAAGCTAGCACCTCATACAAGACTTAAAAGATTCTGTTAAATTTTGCTCTTTTCTTTTCAAATTTCCTGTATATTTAGTGAATTCTCGACATTGTTCCGCGAATATACCGCAGGAAATGACATCGAAAAACTTGACAAGGATTCTCATCCGTTAATTGCGGATCTGGATTAAACAGAAGCACTAAATAAAGAGTCAACTGCAGCGTTTTTACGCTGACTTCTCCTCATAAGCTTTTTTGTTACCAACAATCTCCACTAATTAAACTCCAAAAAGCAATAGCTTAAGTAAGTTTCGGAACACTGCGGATCGTCGTTTGATGGTAAGAAATTAAATTTATGGGTGCTATTTGTAAGAGAGTCACTGATCACTTTTTGATCGTACTGTGGGTGGTGGTGGCGGCGGCTTCCATCGTAATGGTCATGATGCTGGGAATTTCAGTCGTTTAGGGGGAAAAAGGGGGTTCAGGATATCTTCAGGGAGGAGAGGGTGGAAAGTTTTCCAGTGGGTTCGGAGGTGGCGGTGGTTTACGTACATTCAACAGAGGACCCGGCGGTGGTGGTGGTTACACTGGGGGAAGTGGCGAGGCTAATGATGATATTTCCTGTGAGGGAGGGGGGGATCTTTTAACGATGGAACAAATCAACAAAATAAGTGTTGCTATAATAGCGCTGGTCCTGGTTGGGTAAATATTACATTTTTCCAATGAAGAGCACATAGCAACTGTTGTTATCGTGCACAAAAAAAAGTTGTGAGTCAGTTCTTCATATTTTTGTGTATTTCAATCCCCCTTTTTCCTCGAATAAGCACTCGGGCTCTTATTTAAAATTTAAGCCTAGAGGCGGGAGAGTGGGGCGCTTACTGAAAGGAGGCGCTTGTTAAGAAACTATTCTAGCAGAAGCTTAAAAAGTTACATACGAAATAGAAACATTATGAAATTATTATGAAATCCCTTTTTCTTTCCTTGATCAGCTCAAAACTAAACTCAATTTTCAATTTTCATACGACCAGCTAGGCCCATTTTCTTTGTTTATCCGCCCTTTGGGCCGACTGAATTTCCTCTACCATTTGCGCTGGTTGTAAATTA